GTGTGGGACTATTTCTGGACTCTATTCTGACATTGATCTGTGTGTCTGTTACTTTACCAATATTGCCCTGTCTTGATTACTGTAGCTATATAGTAAGTCTTAAAACCAGGAAGTATGTTTCTTCCAACTTTTTGCCTCTTTTTCAGAATTGTTTTAGCTATTTTATAGTTCCTTTGTCTTTTCATATAAATTTTAGAATAAGATTGTCTATGTCTTAAAAAAAGATCCTGCTGAGATTTTGATAGAAATTGTGTTAAATCTATAGACCAATTTAGGGAGAACTGATATCTTTACTATATTGAGCCTTCCAAGGCATGAACACAGTATGTCTCCCCACTGTTTTAGGTTTTCTCTGATTTCTTTCATTGGCATTTTGTAGTTTGCAGCACACAAACAGATCCTAAACATGTTTTGTTAGTTTAAGTATTTCAATTTGCTTCATTGTAAATGTGTATTATGTTTAAAATTTCAGTTTCCAATTGTTCATTGCTAGTATATAGAAATACCAGTGATTTTTTGTTAACCTTGTATCTCTGGATTCCCTAGACTCACTTACTGGTTCTGGAAAGGTTTTTGTGTTTAGATTCCTTGGGAGTTTCTACCTATACAGTGTCATGTGAATAGGGACAGTTTTATTTTCCCCTCTTAAATCTCTTTTCCAGTGCCTTTTAATTTTCTTTTCTTGCCGTATTGCACTGACTAGGAATTCCAGTATTATGCTGAATAGGAGTGGTGAGGCTGGACATCTTTGCTTTGCTCTTAATGTTATGGGGGAAGCATTCAGTCTTTCATCATTAAGTATGATGTTGACTATAGGGTTTTTTGTTTTTTATTTTTTCTAGATACTTTTCATTTGGTTCAAGAAGTTTCCTTCTATTCCTAGTTCACTGAGTTTTTATCATGAATGGGGTTTGAATGTTATGCTTTTCCTGCTTCAATTGATATGACCATGTGGTTTTCCTTCTCTATGTTATTAATATGGTGGATTGCAGTGATTATTGAATATTGACCGAGCTTTTCATTTTTGGATTAATCCCACTTGCTCATGGTGTCTTGTACTCTTTATATATGGCTGGATCCAATTTGCTAATATTTCATTGAGGATTCTTGTCTCTGTGTTCATGAGGGATGTTGGTCTATGGTACTGTGTTTGTATGGTTTTTTAAAATTTTTTATTTTATTATTATTTTTTTCCCGTACGTGGGCCTCTCACTGTTGTGGCCTCTCCCGTTACAGACCACAGGCTCCGGACGCGCAGGCTCAGCGGCCATGGCTCACGGGCCCAGCCGCTCTGCGGCACGTGGGATCTTCCCGGACCGGGGCACGAACCCGCGTCCCCTGCATCGGCAGGCGGACTCTCAACCACTGCGCCACCAGGGAAGCCCTGTATGGTTTTGATATCAGGGTAATGTTGGCTTCATAAAATGAGTTGAGAAGTGTTCCCTCCTCTTACATCCTGGAAGGGATTGTGCAGGATTGTTATTTCTTTAAACGTTTAGTAAAATTTACCAGTGCAACCATCTGGCTTTGGTGATTTCCTTTTCGGGGGATGGTTTTAATGATAACTTCAGTGTCTTTGCTAGTTATACGACTACTCAGATTATGTATTATTTCATCTTCAGTGAGTTTTAGTAGTTTGTGGTTTTCAAGGAATTGGTTTATTTCATCTGACTTGTTGAGTGCATAAAGGTGTTCTTAGGGTTCCTTTATTTTGGGAATATCTTGAGGGATCTGTATGGTATACCATCTCTCATTCCTAATATTGGTAGCTTGTATCTTTTTTTTCCTTGGATGAATCTCTAGCAAGACTGACACTTCCATTGATTTTTTTCAAAGAACTGGTTTTGATTTTTTTTTTTTCTATTTTTGCCTTTGACTTCATTGTTTTCTGTTCTTTCTTTACTGTCTATTTTGGTGAACGGCCCCCTGCTGTTGATGGGTGGAGTTCTATAAAAATTAATGGAGCTAAGCTGCTTAATGGTCCTGTTCTCTCTATTACATCCTTGACGAGAAGAGCGTCTTCACTTGCATGCAGTCCGGTCGATCCAGTATATATAACACTTAGTGGCTAGCTCTTTGTGTCTTATTTGGTAAAAATTTACCTATCCTTATTTCTTCTTTCAAAAGCTTTACTGTTTTACCTTTTACATTTGCAGTTTATCCTGGCTTGTTCTGTATGGTATAAGTAAGGGTTAAGAATACTTTTTTGTTGTTTCTATTGCAAGTATCAATCGACCCTAGTTACTATTTTAATGAGAAACCTATTGCTCGGGCCAGCAATTTGCTGAGGAATCCTGAAAAGGGAGGGAGCCGCAGGGAGTGTCCCTGACTCAGAGAGAAGCCCCGTAGCAGGCTGTGTGTGTGTGACGTTATTTGGCTTTACGTCTAGGCAGTCGCTAAAGGTTGGTAGCTGTGGGCAGGTATCACCCCTGCCCCAAAGGGGTCTTCTCCAGCCAGCCCCTCCCCTCTTCTCGTGGGGATGGCTTATGTGTGTGTCTCCTCATTCAGCTCTGCTGTCACTAGGGGCCAAGGAGCCTAGTGAGGCTGTGAATCTTACTTTGGAGGAATGTGGGCTTTGCCTGGGAGCTTCAGGGGTCCACTTTGACCTTCTTCGCCCTGTCTGGCCTGGGTGTTACCACCCGGGGCAGCCTGTCTCACAGCTCCTGTGGCTGGGTGTAGTGATTCACTTTTGTGTGTCAGTTTGGCTAGGCCATGGTGCCTAGATGTCTCTGGGATTTTTTTAGATGTGATTGATTAACATTTCAACCAGTAGACTCTGAATGAAGCAGATGACCTTCATCATGTGGGAGGGCCTCATCCAATCAGCTGAAGGCTAGAAGACTGAGGTCCCCGAGAAGAAAGGAACCCAAACCCGAGCCCTGCAGTACCAGCTCCTTCCTGAGTCTCCAGCCTGTCGGCCAGCACTGGAAATGTCGGACTCCCTGGCCCCGACAGTCACGTAAGCCAACTTCTTAACACAACCGTCCTTCTCTTTCTCTCCTCTCCATCCTGTTGGTTGGATTTCTCTGGAAAGCCCTGCGTCGGGGCGGGTTATAGCTGTGGCCTCATTTCATGAAAGGTGGAGTTGCATTTCTGGTTCTCCATGGTGGTTTTTGCCTGGCCACAGACATCCCTGCTCTGCCATCTTTCAGCTGGAAGGGCGGACACGTGTTAAGAACAGCCCTGGGGCCAGTGGGAAAGAAGCCTCAGGCTGGGGGGACATATTCCGGTTCCTGATTCTGGAGGGAAAGGCCACGTCTTGTTCAGCCTCAAAAGCAGAGGCCTTTGCTTAGGCTGTTCAGGATGTGACTGCCTCTTGCCACATACGTGGTCATGAACATGAGGTTGTGCGTTTCCCACCTGGCCACGTGTAGGAAAGGGCTGATTAAATCCATCAAAATAATCATCATTAAAAATACCAAAAGCCCCCCTTTTACGGATGAGGAGAGGGGGCTTCAGTTGGGCAGCGTGACCAGAAGCCTGGGTCCTGCCCTCTCCCCCGCCCCCACCTTCCCATCCTACCAGGGGCTGCACGGCATCAAGCTATGGCACAGATATGTAGCCAGACGTGGTTAATAAAAATCATTGTGATTTAATAAATAGTGAGGTGTTTCTGTGCAGGTCCTTCACTGTTTGTCCCAGGGCCTGGCGGGACACAGTGGTGGATGGACGCAAGGCTGAGCCCAAGCTCCCCGCCGGTTTCCCAGGAATAGCCAGGTGAGTGACCTGACGCCACGGTGTCCTGAAAGCACCTCTTGGAAGAGGCGGGGCAGGGGGAGGGCCACAGTCACATAAAAATATAGATGTAGGGGAATTTTACATGGGTCGGGGTCCACTATACATCTTCCTGGTGGATCTGGGCTTTCTGGGCTCTGGAGCAGAATTTTTCACATAGTTTGAAGAGCTCTGACAAAACGAACACGGAGGAGGCCAATCCAGTTAAAAGCAATAGATCTGCCAATAGGTGAAGAGAGAAAAAGGTCAGAGAGCACAAGCTGGCCCCTCTGGTCCCCAGCCCTGTGCTGCCCAGCACTGGAGCCCAGGGGGCCGCGGAGTTCCGTTCCCCGTGCCTGGTTCGTTCTGAGTCACAGAGGCGAGGGGCCGGGACCCGGGAGCCGAGGACCAGACTTTCCACTGTCCTGAGGGGGCAGAGATTTCCCCAGCCCAGCATCCAAAACGCTGCAGAGCCAGCTCCACCAGGACCAGCTGGTCTTTGCAGGCAGCTCAGAGCTGGGGGGCGGGCAGGCTGCAAGCCTCAGCTGTAAGGAGACCCTTGCTTGGGCAGACGCCCCGGCCACGGCTCAGGCTCCCAGTCCAGCCCGACTCCAGCTTGTTCTGACCCCTACATTCTCCCCCTGAGCCTTTTCTGGGCTCCCTGCTGTCAACGGTGCGTGACGGACATGGTGCCCGGCACAGGCCCTGCACTTCCTTTAGACTTGGGAAGCTTCCTGAATTCCCAGTGGGTGGAGACATCTGTAAAAAAACATTTTTAGGTTTTTTTCCTTTCTCCATACCCTCAGGGACCCTGCTTTTTAGATTTTGGGGAAGGAGAAGCTGGGGGTTCCCAGTCTTTGCCCAAGGTTTTCAGTGCCCTTGTCTCCACCACCTCGGATGCTGCTGAGCATTTCATGATCCTGGGAGGTGCCCCGCCCTGTGCTCTGCCTTGGAGGCTGCCCTGGGGGGTTGCCTCCCCAGGCCCCTCACCCTCTGGCTCCCCGGTGGGGTCTGGGATTGCCGACGGAAAGCCGGGTCGGCGGTCACCCTGGTGCTCTCCCTGCACTGCTGCTCTCCAGGCCCCCTCCTCCCACTTCTGGTCCCCGTCACCACCGTTTCAGGCAGAGGAGGCCAAGCCACCCGGCGCAGCTTCCGAAGAGAAGCCTGCTGAAGATGCAGGGCAGTCCCCGGGGTGCCCCACGTGGCATGTGTGCTTGGGGCCCAGAGAGCTGTGGTCATTGCATGTGGCCCTTTCAGCAGGAAGTACTTGCTGGCCCACTCCTGTCTCCAGGTAAGTGGGTCCCAGTGACACAGGCCCTGTTAAAACCCCCAACGGGGTAAACTCACTCCTAAGCTGGGGCGGCACATCACAGGCTGAGCCCAGACTGTGGTCCATCCTGGTGCTGCCCCTGGGCCTCACCGTCCCTGCTCTGAGCCTCCTGCTGTGGGGCGGGGAGGGGGTGGGCCGGGACGTTGAGACCCCTGTGCCCTCCCTTGACTCCTAGCAGGTACCCCCGTGTTTCCCGCCTTCTCCACTCCCCCCATCACGTCGCCCCCTCCTACCCAGTGCAGATGTCCAGGAAAGAGCCCAGTCCTTTGGGGACAGGAAGGCCCCATGCGGGGACTTCACGCCCCAGAAAGGTCTGCAGCTGCCCCGTGCATGCGGCGAGGACGGCTGCGGTCCCGGGTGACCCCTCCCACTCACCGAGCGCCCCCAGGTTCTCCGTCTGGAAGACCTTCTGCAGGGGCGGCAGGTATATCACCGCTAGCTGCCCCAGGACAGACCCGAGCACAGAGTAGAGGAACGTGCGGTTCCTGAGGAAGCCGATCTCGGATATCAGCTTGGTCTGCGGAGAAGAAGGTCACAGTTGGGGCACAGGAGCCGCCTAGAGACGAGGGCCGGGAAAGCATGAGCCGGGGCTCACCTGGGAGCGGCAGGTCAAGGCGTTGAAGAGGTCGAAGAGCACGAAACAGGTGAAGGTCATGGTTGTGGTACGCGGGGTGCTTGCCTTGTCTTCGGGCATCTGGAACACGAGTGCACAGGGTGAGAAGGCGCAGGGGAGGCGGGGACCCCATCCTCGGGACCCCTGTGTGAGAGCTGACAGATCTGTGCCTCTCTCCCCCGCCTGGCTGAGCACACGCGCTGGACAAAGGCGGGGCCTCTTTCACCTTCCGGGCCGTTGAGGATGCAAGAGCCCAGCTGCTCCTCGGGGGTGGTGTGGGGAACACCTGAGAAAAACAGAGCTGGGGGCTGTCCGGCGCCCCATCCCGCCTCCCGCACATGGGCGAGCTGGGGTTTAAACGCCTGGACGATCACCTGCCTAATTCTCTATCCTAGCTCCCTGGCCATGTCAGCACAGGGGCTGTCTGAACCTGCAGGCCATGGAAAGGTGACGCACAGGAAGAGCCCCTACAGTGAGAACAGATAGCCTCTTCAGTGAGTGGTGCTGGGAAAACTGGAAAGCTACATGGAAAAGAATGAAATTAGAACACTCCCTAACCATACACAAAAATAAACTCCAGATGGATGAAGGACCTAAATGGAAGGCCAGACACTATAAAACCCCTAGAGGAAAACACAGGCAGAACAGTCGGACATAAATCAGAGAACTATCTTCTTTGATCCACCTCCTAGAGTAATGAAAATAAAAGACGACCCACAGAACGGGAGACAATATTTGCAAACGAGGCAACTGACAAGGACTTAATCTCCAAAATATATAAACAGCTCATACAGCTCAATATCAACAGAACAACCCAGCCAAAAAATGGGCAGAAGATCTAAACAGACATTTCTCCAGAGAAGACAGACAGATGGCCAGAGAGTGCATAGAAAGATGCTCAACATCACTAATTAGAGAAATGCAAACCAAAACTGTACGAGATAACACCCCACACCGGTCAGAATGGCCATCATCTAAAAGCCTACAACAATAAATGCTGGAGAGGGTGTGGAGAAAAGGGAACCCTCCTACACTGTTGGTGGGAAGGTAAACTGGTAGAGCCACTATGGAGAACAGTAGGGAGGTTCCTTCAAAAACTAAAAATCGAATTACCCAGACAAAGCTATAATTTGAAAAGATACCTGCACCCCTATGTTCACAGCAGCACTACTTACAAAAGCCAAAACGTGGACGCAGCCTCCACGTCCATCAACAGAGGAATGCATAAAGAAGAGGTGGTACATACACACAATGAAATATTACTCAGCCAGAAAAAAGAGTGAAATAATGCTCCTTGCAGCAACATGGATGGACCTGGAGCTTATCATACTAAGTGAAGTAAGCCAAAGACAAATATGTGCTATCACTTATATGTGGAATCTAAAAGAAAATGATACAAATGAACTTATTTACCAAACAGACTCACAGACTTTGAAAACAAACTTCCGGTTACTGAAGGGGAATCGTTGGCAGGGAAGATAGATTGGGAGTTTGGGATTAATTTATACCCACTACTACTACATGTAAATAATCAACAAGGACCTACTGGGTAGCACAGGGAACTCAGTATTCTGTAATAACCTATAAGGAAAAAGATTCTGAAAAAGAATGGATACATATATATGTATACCTGAATCACCTTGCTGTACACCTGAAACTAACAACATTGTAAATCAACTCTACCCCAATATAAAATAAAAATTAAATAAAAAATAAGATCTCGAGGCTTCCTTGGTGGCGCAGTGGTTGAGAGTCCGCCTGCCGATGCAGGGGACGCGGGTTCGTGCCCTGGTCCGGGAGGATCCCACGCGTCGCGGAGCGGCTGGGCCCGTGAGCCATGGCCGCTGAGCCTGCGCTCCGCAACGGGAGAGGCCGCAGCGGTGACAGGCCCGCGTACCGCCAAAAAAAAAAAAAAAAAAAAAAGATCTCCCAAACAGTCACCTCCTGAGAATAAGACAGGAGTTTCTTTTACTAGATGTCAGATTGTTTCCTGGGGATAATTCAAAGCAGGAGAGGCACTGTGTCCCATTTAGGCACTGTGTCCCATTTAGAGGCACTGTGTCCCATAAGAAACCTGCCGCCTTTTCTCTGCCTGTGAGGCCTCACCTCCCTTCCGCCCGGTCCCACCTCTGCAGCATCAGCTTGCAGTCCCTCCCCACCCTCTGCTGCCCCCTCCCCTGCACGTGTGTTTGTCTCCCCCAGCCACGGCGCCTGCACCCCTGGGGGCCGGGACCACACCCCTGCCCCGCGTCTGCGACCACACAGACCCGCTGGCCAAGCCCATGAGGACTCCCCCACCTCTTTCCAGAAGATGAAGAGGGTCCCGCTGATGATGGTGGCGGCCGACAGGAGGATCTTCAGGATGAGGGCTCTGCCGAGTATCACGTCCTTGACGTTCCGTGGCGGCTGCCTGAGGGTGTCCCTGTCGACCGGCTCTACCCCCAAGCTGCTCGGAACAAAACCGGACGCTTTGAACTAAACCATCGAAAAGACGTGCAGTGGTTAACTGCGCGAGGCCACCCGGCAAAGTGACGCGCAAGGGTCCACAGTGAAGGCCTGGACGGGCGTGGGCAGTGCCTCCGGGCTGTCCCCGGCCCCTCCTGCCTCACGTCCTCTGCTCCGCCGCCACAGCCTGGACCCCACCGGCAGCCCGGCAGCTCCCCCGCCCTCCTGCATCCCCAGCCATGAGTGCGGTGAGAGAAGACCATGCCTGTGGCCGACCACGTGGTCCTGAATGGTGCCCGGTTGTTCCCCATCACCTCGGAGACCCCCGCCCCCAGCTCAGGCCTGGCCTCATCCCAGCTGGCCTGGAGAAATGGGATCCAGGCCCTGCCCACTGAAGAGCCCCCCAGCAACTGAGGGGTCCTGCCTTCAGCCAACTCCAAGGCAGCGGGATCGGGGCTAGGCCCGCAGTGGACGGTGTGGGGCTCCAAGGAGGGGGCAGGCTGGGGGATGCCCACGCTGGGCAGATACGGCTGGGGCCCAGCTCTGCTCGCGGCCCCGTTCCCAGGGAGAGCACGTATAAGAGGTGGCCCTCTCGCTGGGCGTGGTGGGGGGAGCAAAGCCATCACTGGTGGTGATTAGATTAATAACTAACAATTCAGCTGCACCGAGAGCAACACCGCTATGTGCTCAGACACAGGGAGGCGCCTTGCTTGCTCACATCGGCCTCCCTGCCTCCAGAGCCCATCCTTCCTCCTGCAGCATTCATTCCGTTAGCCTCACGCTCCCTCCTCTTTCACCCAGCCAATAACGTCCTGAGCACCTGGTGTGTGCCGGGCACCATTGTAGGAGTCGGGGATCCTACAGGGAACAAAAAAGCCTTCCCCCAGGAAGCTGACATCCTAAAGGGGAGATGGACTATGATCAGATAAACAAGGAAATATGGTCCCCTCTAGACAAAAATAAAGCAGGGTAAGGTGACTGGGAGGGAGGAGGCTGCTGCTAGAGAAATCAGGGAGGACTTCTTGGAGGCAGTGACCTGAATGAAGAGAGGGCTCGAGCCATGCAGGTAGCTCAGGGAGAGCATTCCAGGCAGAGGAGCAGAAAGTTCATCGTCCCCCTGCCCGCCCACCAGACGCCTCCTCCTGCGCCTGGTGCATTCCCCTCGCCATCTCCCCTGCACGCTCCCGCCAGCCCACTGCCTTACCTCTGCGCCGGCGGCCCATCCATGATGATGTTGATCCACAGGATCTGCATGGCATTGAGGGGGCTGGGCAGGTTGCACACGGTGGACAGAGTGATGAGGCTCAAGGCCGAGATGCTCCTGCAGGGCACACACAGGGCACTGTCACGAGCTGCTCCCAGACCTGGCACATGGGGGGACGCCGGCGTCGACTTACGTGCTCAGCTGAAATCGCACAAAGTTCTTGATGTTATGAAAAATCCCCTTGCCTTCCTCCACCGCATTCCTGCAAGAGAGGAGAAAGCATTTATTCACCAAGGCGGCCGGGAGAGAAGGGTCAGCCAGCTCCGTCACCTGCTAAAGGAAGTGACGGTGTCAGCAGAGGTCACGATTCTCCTTGCTGGCGTTCTCGGGGAATCACCAGTAGAGGATATGCTCATGTCCTAACAGGTGCCTTCAGCCACTGGGGGCTGGTCACCAAGCCACGATCGCCCTTCTGTCCAGACTGTAGACCATTCTCTCGTCCGAGCCCTGGGACCCCAGCCCTCACCCAAGGCTCCCGAAGTGCCCCCTGCCCCTCGGTGACCCACCAAGGAGAGACGGAGCCCCCGTGGCCCTGCTTTCCATGGGGGGAGTGGGCCTGGGGACACCGTGTGTATCCACCACAGCAGAGGAGGCGGCTGCCACCCCAGGCATTTTTGCCACCAAAGAAACACCTAAAGAGCAAATTACATGATGGCTGAGAAGTCGTCGTCCACCAGGATCATGTTGGCGGCCTCCTTGCTGACGTCCGTCCCTGTCCGCCCCATGGCAATCCCGATGTCCGCCGACTTCAGGGCGACCGCGTCGTTCACCCCGTCCCCCGTCATGGCCACGATCGCCCCCGACTCCTGCAAAGCCTTTGGAAAGAGGAGGCCAGTGGAGGCCTGCAGCCTGAGGACCTTCCTTCCAGATCCTTCCCTCCTCCTGCCCCGCCTCTCACACTGAGTGGCAAAGGCCCCTCTCTAGAGGGCACTGGGGTCAGCTGGCCCGGGTCTGAATCCCAGTTCCCCCCGTATGAGCTGTGGACACTGGGCAAGCCCTGAACCTAACCTCAGCTTCTCTATCTGCAGAGTGGGAGCACGGTCTCTCCTTAACAGGGCTGTTGTGAACCCTAAACTAAGAACACAGAGGGAACAGTGCCCGGCACAGAGCGAAGGCGTGAATGTGTTATCTGTCACCACGCCAGCTAAAAACTGTCGCTTGCCGTCTGGTTCTACAAGGTCGAAGTCACTGGCCACTGCAGCCGCTGACCTTCCACACCCGCTGAAAGGAGTTCAGGGCGGAGATCGGCAACGAGGGAAGAACCGTCAGAACAAGCCTTCAGATGGTTAGCTGTTTCCAGGAGCAGATTTTATGCGCCCAGATTCGTACAACTTTCCATATCTAGAAAAGCACTAAAATCACTAACAGAGACGTCTGCTCCTCGTGGCCAGGAGCAGCCTTCTGCCAAAGCACGTGCATGACTGCTGGTACCGCCTTCACTGGAGTCACATACGTACCCCACCCCCTACCTCTTCGGAGTGGCCCCTCAGAGCCCCCCAGAGCTGAGACGCTGTCTCCCCAGCTGTAGTTCTTTTTTTTTTTTTTTTTTTTGTGCGCGGGCCTCCCACTGTTGCGGCCTCTCCCGTTGCGGAGCACAGGCTCCGGACGTGCAGGCTCAGCGGCCGTGGCTCACGGGCCCAGCCGCTCCGCGGCATGTGGGATCCTCCCGGACCAGGGCACGAACCCGCGTCCCCTGCATCGGCAGGCGGACTCTCAACCACTGCGCCACCTTCAGGGAAACCCTGTAGTCCTCATTTTGCCCCCAATAAAACTTAACTCACAACTCTCACGGTGTGCTTTCTTTTTCAGTCAACAACCATTAATAATAATCAGCTCGTCCCCTGAATCCATGTGGTACCCAATAAGTATTAATATTTTCTTTGAGGAATGACTGGCACAGAGGTTTACTCTGTAGAACTAAAAAACCCCCAAATGACACAAAAGAAAAAACACAAGTGTTAAAGAACAGCTTTTCAAAGCATCCACGTGTGGGGAACCACACAGGTGTCTCTCGTTCTAGTCCTTTCGTTTTTGATGCGCCATCAGAAGGCACCTGCGGTGGGCCAGGCGGCTGCCAAGGGCTTCACAGGCCCAGCTTCGTTTCTTTCTTTTTTTTTTTTTTTGGCCGTGCCAGGCAGCATGTGGGATCGTAGTTCCCTGACCAGGGATTGAACCCGCACCCGCTACATTGGAAGTGTGGAGCCTTAACCACTGGACAGCCAGGAAAGCCCCCTGGCTTCGTTCCGTCCTCTCCTGCCTTGTGAATTAGCTGGTGTCATTCTGTCATTCATATTATCCCCATTTTACAGATGAGGAAACTAAGGCCCGGAGTTAAATAACAGGAATACGCCAAGGAGCACCCGACTAACGAAGGCTGGCCTCTGCGCTTCTCCCTTTGCACCACCCAATTCCCGCTCCCCGCTTTTGGTACACGTGGCACGGGGCCCCCAGTTCTCCCCTCCCCAGAGGCCAGTGCAGAGGAGGCGGCCACCGCTGGGCCCTGGACCACCTTGTGAGCAGAGCCGCCACCGCCCTGGGCTGTGCCCTGAGGGACCAGAGAGGCACACAACTGACCTTGATGATTTTGAGTTTGTGCTTTGGGCTGGTCCTGAAGAAGACAGACACCTGCATACGGAGACGGGAGAGGGCCGGGCATCAGTGAGTGAGGAGGTGGCACCTTCACCCCATGCCCCTCGGCGGTGAGCCTCGGGAGGACCCCACCTTCCCGACGCGCTCGGCCAGCTCGCCCTGCTCGGCGCTTTCCACCTCTTCCCCGGACATGGCGCTCAGCTTCCCGTTGCACAGGCCGATGTTTCTTCCTGCAAGGTGTGGACAGTCCCTTCTGAGGGCCTGAGACTGTGGTCCCTGCACTTGCCCCTCACTCCACCTACCTGACATCAGGCCCCGCCTAGGCCACAGGGAAAAACAAAACCACAGTGGCCCCAATGAGAGAGCCCCTGCTATGGTATCTGACCTTAATTCCATCCACAGAATGAACTGGCAACCACGGCCTCTTATCCCCACTCTAAAGATGAGGAAACAGGGAGCGGTGACTTTCCCAAGGTCATAGGGCTGGTAAGTGCTAATACTGGAACTGACATGGTTCTTTCTGTCTGATTCCAGAGTCTGTGATGTTTCCATGGTGCCAGGCTGCCTCAAGACAGAGGGGTTAGAAATCCAAGGTGTGGCAACCGTGCTAACAGTAATAAAAAGAGTAGGAGGAGGAAGGTTGCTAGCGCTCTGCTGATGAAAAGCCTGAGGGTCAGAGTGGCTCAATGATTTGCCAAGGGCCCACCGCTGCTGGCAGAAGCCAGACTGGAAGTGTGCACTGGCAGTGATGCTGCCTGTGGAGATGAGGTGAGATCATGGATGGAAGGCCCCAGGGCAGAGAAGGTTCTTGGTGCATGCGAGGTCTTTTCCTCTTTAGGAGAACCTGCCAACATTTTAGAGACAAACACCCACTCGGAAGGTGGGATGCTGGTCCTCGAACCTCAGAATCTCTTCCAAGCACGTGGAAGGTAGTTGTGAGCTCTCCTGACCAGGTCCCTCGAGGAGTAAGCAGTGGCAGCGACCCTCACCCTCCACCCCATTCCCTGGTTACCTATCGCCAAGGCCGTCTCCAGAGCATCTCCCGTTATCATTTTCACGGACAAGCCCGAATCAGAGAGAACGTGGACCGCTTCCTCCACGCCAGCCCTCGGAGGGTCGATGATTCCGATGAGACCCAGGAACGTCAGCTCCCCCAGCTCAGGCCCAGAAGCCAGGGCCAGCACTGCGGACAGAGCAAGACCCACAGAAGGTTCAGAAGATTTTCGTCCCCAGTCAGCCCCAGCCCCACCGTGTCCCAGACCCTCTTCTGTCCGCGAGGGGCTTGGGCACTAAGTCCCTGGACCACAAAGGGGAGGGATGATCTTTCCGACGTTCGTCAGGCCCGTGCAGGGCAGCGGCTGTTGACGGCTCACCCACGATGGAGAGCAGGGCAAGTAGCAACAACCTGCCCAGTGGGAGACGGGCCTCTGTCTGCTGGTGGTGCAGTCCCCACGGGGAGTGGCCACGAGCACACCTGTGGGCTGGCACATAAGGGCACATTTCTGATGGCCTATCTGTCATTGCTCTGCCCTCCTCTGTCATTGCCAGCAGACTCGGGGCGACAGTCACCAAGGTCAAGAAGAATGTGCAGGAGGCAACACGGGTCAGAGGACTCTGTTTCAGGGGCACAGAGCCAGACCCGGCTCTTGGGGACAGGTGCTCTGAGAGGGGGTGGTGTGAGAACTGACCTTACTGATACTGGAGGGGAGCTATGGCCAACAAGTTCCAGCTGTGACCCCTCAGTCATGACACTGTACCAGTGATGCAGGGGGGTGCGCCAGCGATGCGGGTACCATTCCCCCCTTTCTCAAAGCAACCCTCCCTGCCCTGCCCAGCTCAGCTCTGTCCTGACATGTCCTCACCTTATAGGCTTGTCAGTTTATAATTACTGTCCCCTGAAGGGGAAAACTAGGCCAACTGAAACCAATACAGGAAGCCAACGCTTCTCACTTTCCCCTGAGGGAATACACGTGTTCCAGAGTGTTTTCAGACATTTTCTCCGAAAACGGACAGGCTGACAAATGACACTACGGGAAACGTGAGGTTGAATGTTCAGCCCATCGGGGAAGGCGTTGGCCCTGGTGCAGAAAATTGGAAATGGCCAAGGAATGAAACGTCTGCATTAATTTACAAGAGCTTTGGGTTTTCCTGACAGCGAGCCGTGAGCAGGACGACCAGTCGGGAAAATCATCGTTTCAGGGGCGGCCTGTCCACCTGTCTTAGAAAACGCAGAACCTCTTCTTGCACGCATGAGCTGCGTCTGGGATAACGGGTATCGTCTGGCGGCTGAGATGGGTGGGGGTCTCCCTATCTTTCATCTGCCCAAGAGAGTCCACCCTGGCTTTGCTTGCATCAGCATCCTGCCTGACACCACTCTGATCATCACTGCGTTGACTCGGGACCCTGCGTCAATACACTTGAGAAGTCAGTGTTAGGTGCAAACTTAGAGCTTGGGGCTGGGACCACAGGCACTGACCCCGCAGGCCAAGCGACCCCATCCTCTTCTCCTCCTGCTGACAGAAGGCTCGCTGCTGGGGCGTCAGCGGCAGGGGGATACCCCCATGGTTGTACATGGTACAGTAACGAATCACTTCCTCGAAGGCCCCCTTCATGAAGTAGATGTCTTCCTGCTCCTTGGAAAAGACAAAAGGAAAAAAATGGGCTGACACTGGCTGCTTCAGCTCTTGGTGACCGTCACCTCATCCACACAGAGATGTTCACGGCGGGGCTATTTACCCCGGACCGTCACTGTTCACCAATACAGGACAGGTTAGAGAAGTTACAGGAAATCCACGTGATGGAATACCGATCTCTGACCCAACCCAGGCCTGCCCTACATCGGGCTCCCTGGTTAATGTCACTCAGAGCACCTGCACGTTTCATGAACTGGACATATCCCAGCCATTGCTGTGTCTTTAAGTGTGTGACTGACCACTAGATGTCTATTTCAGGGAGACTTCCAAGCAAGGCAGGCACCATGAACTTGGCCCATAAGAATGAACCCAAATGAGCAGCTGACCCGTTTCCTGTGCATCTGTTAAGTGCCGTCTCCCTGAGAGAGACCGTAAGTGCCAGGTGCCTTGTCAGCGTGGGTCACGCTGCAACCCCGGCATGAGCACAGCACCTTCCTGCTCGCAGTGGGCAGCGAATGAGCTTGTGCAAACTGACACGGAAAGCTGTCCAAGACGGCACTTAAGGGAAGAGAGCAAATTACACACACTGTATACGGCATGACCTTCTTTTGAAACTACTACCCCCCGTGTTGCATTCGCACATTTAGAACCTGGAACACTCTATCTCTGACTGCTAAGGGGTGTCAGCATGGGTGGGGAGTGGGGAGGGAGAAAAGAGGGGCAGAATTGTCGTGAGCTTGCGTTTTTGAAGTTACATTTCTATAATTTTTTTCAATGAAAATATATTACCATTGCCTTCGGGGGGAAAATAAGATTTAAAGGTATTAAAACATAAAAAAAAAAAAAAATCCAAATCCCGTCTTAAGCACCCGGAATTTATATGCCTGTCCACTCATGGCAAAGAGCTGGGATAAGCTGGCCAAGCTACCGCCACTGTGAACGAGACGGGAAATCTCAGCATGGGCAAGACGTGACATATTCCAGAAGGAGCAGAAAGTTTGGAGAAAAAGGTAGAAGGCGATAAAAATCTCTTAAAAAAAAAAAAAAGTTTCTTCACTGTAGAAAATCTGAAAAGCTACAGAAAAAGAAAAAAGTGGGGGAAAAACGGCTGAATCCCCCCCAGGCACAGCTAGTAGGAATTTGGTACCTGTTCCCCAGGTGGCCTAGAACCTATGCGTACACACACGTGCGAGCCCACCGTCCACACCATCTATGGTGGATGCTGGGGTGTGTGTCCTGGATCCCCCTTCAGGATGAAGGCTCGTTCCCCCGTTACGACAGTTACGTGAGATCATGCGTGTAAAGAACTCAGCACAGGGGTGCGAAAAAAGGACCTTAAGTTAGCAGTGGGGTCAGTGTCATCAGTAAGGACGTGCAGTCACTCCGGTAGTAATTACTCAGTCATTGTACTGTAGGCGAGTCTCACACGTGAACTTGCATCAGAATCCCCGGCAGACACAGATGACCGGGTCCCAGCCCTGGAATTTCTGAGTCAGTGGGTCTGGGGTAGAACCTGAGAATCTGCATTTCAAGGTGATGCTTCTGCGGGTTCAGGGACCCCACTTTGAGAACCAGAGATTCAGATGACAATCTCAGAAGAGGAGGTAATCAAAGGTTTATACTTTCACGTATTTGGAAGCTCACAGAAGTAGCCAGGAACTTTAAACTCTTCTGACGTCTGCATTTTGCTTTGCTGGAAAGGGGCAGAGAGGCAGACTCACCTCATTCCTGGAGCTGCATTGAACCGCCATCCACTTCTGTTCCGAACTGAATGGAATCTCTTTTTTTCGCATGTATGAATCTTTAATATCACTTAAGCCCATCTAGGAAAATAAAATGGGACATTTTCAGCGAGTCATCCTAAACCAATCTCTATGCAAAGCTCAGTCCCTTTAAATTATTCATTATTCAAACCACCTCAGGCAGATGAGAAATGCAAGCGTTCAGCACACAGAAAAGCCATTTGCTTTCAAACGTCCCACGGGAAAAGAAATCAATCTCTCTTTTCTCTTGTCCCAGGGGCAGAGCCTGATGGCCTCTGCCACAGCGTCTAGCTGGAACCTGTGGGGTTTCTGCCGGGACGAATGTTTCAGACTTGAAGAGGCAGCAAAAGGAGCCCTGGGAAGTGGGGCGCCTGCGGTCACCACCTGGGGTCCCTGCCAGGCCTCACATTCACTCGCTCTTTGATGCTTTCAGGCCAGTTCCTTGACAGCTCTGAGCCTTGGTTTCCCCAGTTGTAAACCAATCCTAACCCGTGCATCCCATCGCCCCACAAGGGGTGAAAATGGGTTCTTAGGGGGTGAAAAAAAAATCTCCTTTTATGTATAAAGCACAGACACCCATACAGTACAGGAACAGATACATACTATTGGGCTGACAAAAAAGTGCGTTTGGGTCTTTCCGTAATATCTGCAGTATTAAAATCTCATGGGGGGAGTGATTAGGGAAAAAACATCTAAAAAGTCTCCTTAGGGGAGTGTCATCGGTTGCACTGTGTCCCTCAAAGACTTACGGAAGGTGTAATTCCCCAGTGCCTGCGAACAGGATCTGATTTGGAAATAGGGTCTTTGGAGGTGTAACGAAGTTAAGATGAGGTTGTTGGGGGAGCCCACGACGGCATGACCGGTGTCCTTCCAAGAAGAGGACAAGGCCACGTGAGGACCTCCCTCACTCAGACAGGACCTCGAATTGTGCTGCCAGTGTAGCTCCGAGAGAAGGAATTCCCCACGCAGACGTCACAGACCTCCTACCTTCATTGCCAGGGCCACCAAGGCGCCCTCCGTGGGCTGCCCCATCATGGCGTTCTTTCTGATGGTGGCGTTGTTGGCGACACAGCCTGCCTGGAAGGAGAGGTGTCCGAAGGTCGTTTGTTAGTATTTGGAGCTGCACCCGCCGGGGTTCCGGGCTTACTCAGGCACGTGAAAAGGTGCCTGAACGCTGCACCCATTTTCAGAGCTGGGGCTGGCATGGGGGCCAGGGACAAGTTTACTCTTCAAAATACATCAGTCTCAAAATCCACACGATTAATATTCACTGACTCTGCTGAATGTGGGTCGTCACACAGCTGTCACGAGGAACTACAGTGGGGAGGCAGGCAGACTGGGGGGTCACGCGTGTGGGGTGATGGCCAGTGCCTGATAATGGGGACGGGGTTTCTGATTGGGGCGACGAAGCATCCTGGAATTAGATAGCGGTGAGGGCTGCACAACCTTGTGAATATACTAAAACCCACTGAACTGTACACTTTAAAAGGGTGAATTCTGTGATGTGCGACCTACATCTCAATTTAAAATAATAACTGAAAAATGAGAAGTACAAACAAATAGACAAAAAGAGCATGGGGGTGAATCCCGGCTCCCTCCCACTCACTGGGGGACCTTGGGCACTCACGCTACCTCTCTGAGCCCCCGTTTTTTTTTTTGGCCGGCGCTGTGTGTGCCAGCATGCCGTATCTTAGTTCTCCAAACAGGGACCGAACCTGTGCCCCCTGCATTGGGAGCGCTGCGTCTTAACCACTGGACCGCCAGGGAAGTCCCGAGCTCCTGTTTCTTAATCTGCACAACTGAGATAATGGGGCAGCCCTCTCAGGGCTCTGTTAATTGTCACCGTGGAGGTGGGACCTGCGCGGAGAGGATGATGGTCAAACTTCCTGTGGGGAGGGGACGTGAGCTCCTGCGAGGACAGGTATGGCTCACGTTACAAGTACTGATGGTCACAACAGGCAGCGTTCATCCCGTGCTTGTTTCCCAACATTCACAGAGCCCCTTCCCTGTCCAGCAAGCAAGGGGGGAGGAAGGGGCTCCCAGCTCCCTTACGTCCCATATTTCCATCTGTATCTGGGCCGCCGTGACAACCTGACCCCTGGGCCGTGGCCCAGTCATCACCGAGAACCAGCTGGTCCAACTGCGTTCTCTCTTTCTGGAGAGAGTCCCCATTAGCTCTGTTTTAAATGCATGTTTACTTCCACGGTGGCGCTTTTGACACTTACCTCCACTAACTTCCCCACTGAGATGTTGGAAAACTGCTTAATGACTTCCTTTGAGGGTAAAAGACAGACAGTCCCTTGGCCGTTGTAGCCAACTCCGCTGACCTACAGGGCAAAGGCAAAAAACGGGGTGTCACTAGGAGGCAAAAAGACGCTTCCCCGGTTGACCCCTATCCCTTTCTGGGGAATCCATCCCCAAGGACACGGTCCCACCACGAACACGTCTCCAAGCGTGAAGTGTCCCCTGCAGGATTACGTATTAATCAGATACCTCACCGAGTGCCGTGCTTCAGTAAACTGCAACAGGGCATTCTTCAGCCGGTAAAAATCATGGTTATGAAAACCACGTATTAGCATACAAGGGTGCTTATGTTCTAGAACCGGGGCGGGCAAGCTCTTTCTTGCAGAGCCGATAGCAAATATCGTAGCCTTGGCAGTAATCTCTGCTGCGATTACTCTGTAGCTGTGATGTGACAGGAAGCACGGACAATGTGAACATCCATCCAATGTGGACATCCTCTGCCAGCCAAAGGGTGGCTGCCTTCCACCAGTCGTGTTCCTTGCTGCTACTGGTAGCAAGGAGATTGTCCAATAACCCATATTTGCTTCTTCCTTACTGTTCTCTGGAAGACTCCGTGTGCTTTCTCTGGGAAGGAAGGGGTCTGGCAGGGCACAACCTGGACTTGAACCTTATAAATTCACACAGGCTCACCTCAGCGTGGAGCCCGTCCGACGTCACAAGTTGGGTGACAGTCATTTCATTGGCAGTCAGAGTCCCCGTCTTATCAGAACAGATGACATTGCAGCAACCTGGCACAAGAAGACACCAGAGTTTATAGGAACAAGAAGTCGTCACCACCAACTCTCAGGCTTAGGAAACACCCAGGTAGAATCAGCACGGCACTAAAATGCCCATGCAGTCCAATTCGTAATCCAACCAGCTGGGTTCCCTCACCTAAAGTCTCCACGATCGGCAGCTTCTTCACAATGACCCGCTTCCTGGCCATCCGCAGCACTCCCAGGACCAGCGTCACTGTGACGACGATGGGCAGACCCTCGGGAATGGCGGCCACAGCCAGGCTGGATCGAAAAGGCCAGGCGGATCACCTCGAGCACGCACTTAACGATGACGTGCATCGCACCTGGCGTTGGCAGCATGTTTACCCGGTGAAGCTTGTCCGTGGTTCCCCCACCTTCTCTGTTCTGTTCTCTGCTGCCAGTCCCATGACACACCTGCCTCCTCCTTCAGCATCCATTGCTCTGAGCTTTCCCCCTGCGAAACCCTGCTTTCCTACCAGACAACCACACTTTAGTGTGAATTAGTCTGTCCCTTGTTTTGCCTATTTAAGTGCTTTTGTCGTCTATTAGAGACAAAAGTCTTGGGCCCTATGAAAGCAATCTCCGGAATCAGGCACTAAGTGGGAAGCGGAATTATTAGGTTTAGAGGGTCCTCCCTGGGTCCCTTGAATTTTACTCTAAATTGGTCTAATGGTTTAGACATTTGCTGTGAGAAAACCAGACAAGGAAATGAAAGTTGGGGGAGGTGAAGTGGCGCGGCGAGGCCTTTGCCTAAGCAGGCTGTTGTGCTGTCTGCTCATTTGCTTAAGACGCCCCGCACCCCCCACCACTCTTTCTGTACCACGGGGCCCCGCCCTCCCACAGCCAAGGTTGATTGGGTTAGAGGAGAACATATGACTCCAGCTGAACCAATGAGCTCCTCCCTTGGGAATCTGCATTGGGACTGAGCACAGGATCCCCTTCCTGTGGGCAGGGTTTGTGTCTTGCCAGTGACCTCAGGCCGATGGGGGAGGCTGGAGAGTGCGGGGCAGACTGTGCAGAGCTGTGGGGTGAGCATTACCATGCCAAGCCCCAGGGTGGTTCACCCTTTGCAGAGCACAGTGCCGCAGGTAGTCAGTAAATATTTGCTGAGTGAACACACAGGAATGAGTGAACACATGGCAAGTGCAAGAGCCTGGACCCACCCTGGCCTAGCACACAGTGAGCGCTCTACATAGGTTGGTTAATAATCAGAAAGCCCCGCCGCCGAGGATGAACCGAAGCCACGCATGGCTACCGTATTTCATCAGATCTAAGGCGCTGCTGATTGGGAAGGGCACCATTATCCTGCGCACCTCTAAAAACATACTGCCCATTAACGGTGCCGGGATGCTTTCTTATCACCTCACTTGTGAGAAGCAGTCTGACTTCAGAGAAGGTAGAAGGTGAAAAAGAATGTGTGTCTTAGAATCAAAGAAATACGGTATATGAATGGCGGCCTTTCACCTGGAGGCCATGGAGCATTCAGGGGTAAGTTATAGAAACCAAGGTGACGGAATTTGGTCAAGGGACTGTGCCCGGTTTCTACGGTGACGGCAAGAAGGTTTCCTTGCTTTTATGGCACAGGCTGACAAGGCCAGCTAAGCAAACATTTGCAAAGGGTTCTCACGGGCACTTTCCTTCTACATGGCGTGAGAAGGGCATTGTGTGTGCCTGGATGTTTTCATAATAATAAAAAAGTAATTGGCAAACCAATAAAGATTAGAATAGACCAGGAAAAGCAAGTAGACCTTGGGTCATCTTGAATGTCGCTCAAGGCACAGGGAAGTAGGATAAAGTTTCTAAAAGAATGATTCTCTTGCTACTTATTTTGGAGAATCTCTTCCTCACCAGCTATCCTGCCATTTCTACCTTATGACTGAGAGGTGTTGAGTGATTTTCTTCTGCTAAAAACTGAAGAACCTCATCCTTTCAAAGTCACAAGTGAAATGACCACAGTCAGTTTTCTTTCAATTGCAAGCTTCCCATGGACCGAGTGGGATGAGAGAGATGAAAGGGGCTGTTAGACAAGAAATCAGAAATGACCTTGGGGAAGTAGGGATGCGGTGGACACAGGAGCCTTTTCTCTTATTTACCTGGAAATACTTAACAGTCTTTTTGCCTCATGGAACTTTCTGTGGTTTACAAGATGGGATGGAACGCATCCTTATTTGGGGGAGGTTCTCATGCATCATGGCCTCTGAGAGCTCTGCTTTTTCTGGGAGCCCCTCGTGGCTGAGGCTCCACCCTCTGCCACCACCCCCTACCTCTGAAGACCGAGTCACCTGAGCCTTCTTTCTGGGGCTCCACCTTCTTCCCTAGTGCCACCTCTTGCTGGAGCCCCGACTAGGGTAATTGTAGCCATGGCCTCACTGCTCAGAGTGATGCTTCCTGAACCGGCAGCATCACCATCCCTGGGGAGCATGTTAGGAATGCAGAATCTCGGGCCCTCCCCCCAGACCCACTGAGTCAGAGCCCCGGCAATCTGTGTGGGACAAGCTCTCCCAGGGACCCTTGTATGGTGAGGTTAGTTACGGTCAAGTCCAAGACCCCCGGCTCTACGGCGTCCTCCTCTTGCGGGAGGCCCTGCCCTCACCTCAAACGCCACCGTCCACAGCGCAGCCAGCTGCCCACTGCCCTGTTCCCTCTTACCCCCTCCCTCCTCAGAGCAAGCCGGGGTTCACACCTCCCATCACCATTCCAAGAATGGCCAACACTTTTCATCTCTCTGCTCCAAAAGAATAGTAGAGATGGCCTGGCACAGCGTGCTGAGAAGGGTTCTGAGGATGTGATTAGAATTCAGAGAAAAAGGGGCCCATGAGTTTCCGCGTGATCAGCCCCGTCATCTACCCTACCGTCTGGTCTTATCACCCAGCCCGACCACAGCCTCCCCGCTGCTTCCGCAGATGCGCTAGGCTCACTCCGCCTCGCGCGCCTTTGCCCCTGCCATTCCCCTGCCTGAACGCCCCGCCCACCCTTAGCAGCATCTCTCCAGCTTCAACTCCTCAGAGAAACCTCTCCCGGCCCCCTTTTCTGGCCACATCCCTTCCCGCCTCCCTTTTAATCTCTCAACCAGCGTTTCCTTTGTAGCTTTTTTTTTTTTTTTTTTTTTTTTTTTGGCGGTACGCGGGCCTCTCACTGTTGTGGCCTCTCCCGTTGCGGAGCACAGGCTCCGGACGCGCAGGCTCAGTGGCCACGGCTCACGGGCCCAGCCGCTCCGCGGCATGTGGGATCTTCCCGGACCGGGGCACGAACCCGCGTCCCCGGCATCGGTAGGCGAACTCTCAACCGCTGCGCCACCAGGGAAGCCCTCCTTTGTAGCTTTGATCGTCAGTTGTGATTATTTTGCTAACGTTCACTGAAATTGTTCACGTTTACTTTCCCCACCAGCCTGCAGACTCCGTGGTCCAGCTCCATCGGCACTGGACGATGCAAGTACACAGTGAGCAGGTGCTCAAGAGACACGTGTGGGGCAAATAGGCAAACCAAGCGCCATGACCGGGGAGGGTAGGGAGAGGCCCCGCCCTGCCCGGGAGGTGGCCAGGGGCACTGAGCCGGACCCTGGCTTTGGATCAGAATCGTGCGGTCTGCAGTCCGTCTCCTCCACTCCCTGATCCTGTAACTACAGGCAGATGTGTCGGCCTAACCCTCAGCGTCTCCATCTGTGAAACGGAGACCGGCCTGCCTCTCGGAGCTGTGCCTCGATGAGCGAGGTCACCTGCTCCTCCCGAGTCCTTCCCCCTCCTCCACTCGGCATCAGCAGACCCTGGCGGCGCCCCCTTCACGTTCTCGAAGATTCTAGAACCGCCTCACCTAGCTGGTCAACACTCCGACACTGACACGGAAGGATAAACGGCCAATGGAAGCTCTGGGTCCTATTTTCCTTTATACCATTCACGGCACGTAGCTCAGGATATAAAGTCAGGAAACCCCCGCTCGACTTGAGATCATGACCTCGTCCGCTCAAAAGAACGCGTTGGGCTCTGTATCTAGAGCTCTGCAAGCCGTCTGCTGTGGCCACCACCCAAATGTGACGATGATGATCTGGTGTGTTTCAGGGAAAAGACCTGAAATCCAGCAGGAACATCTGTATAGCACAATGGCCTGATTTTCATGGTTCCAAAGAGTTTGGGGGAAGACCCAAGCCCTGGTATCAATCCATTTATTTATAGCTTATATAAAGTGAAAACCTAAAGACAATTGCTGTTAGGGTATCTTTTCGTTTATACTCAGAATTAGTCTGACGTGGCGTTTTCCAAATGTTTGCCATCTGCATCTTGCTTTTATGGTTTTGGTCACATAATATTCTAACTGCATAATATTCTTTAAACCAACTTTTCCTTTTCCTTTTTCATGTCCCCAGGAGTTGGCATTAATGAGATTTTGTTTGTTAAGGAATAGCAGAGCGTCTAAAACCAGACACAGGCTTTTCCAGTTTCCATTGTCACAAAGTAGTCACTGAATAATAGGATACACACCTGCCCGCAGGTGGATTTTGCTGGCCTGCCTCTCAATGCACACAGGGCAGTGTGATTAAAAAATGAGGCATTTTAAAGAATGTATATATATATATATACGTACAACTGAATCACTTTGCTGTACAGCAGAAATTAACACAACATTGTAAATCAACTATACTTCAATTTTAAAAAGGGAGGCATTTGGAATTTTACAAGACCTGCATTTGAATTTCTTCTATTGCTAATTGCCAGGTAATGGTGTCCACTCATTTCTACACAGACAGACTTGACTCTGTACCAGAGACGTGTACACTCAACCCCCTAACGCAAGGTTCTCTGGCCCACGCTGGCCGGCCCTGTGGGAAGCAGCTCCCCGCAGCCTCCGTCCTACACTGGGATGCCCCGAGCCATTGTGAGGCGCGTCACTGTAATTTACTGTAATGACAGTTACAACGTGGCTGTCTGCAAACAGTTCACTTTTTATATATAAATTAGAAAGGATCCAAGGATCCTTGTAATAACAGCTTTCCTAATTACCTGCTTTATGTTTTCTTTATTGAGATGTCATTCACGTACCGTAAGATTCGCCCTTTTAAAGTATCTAATTCAGTGGTTTTATATTCAGAGTTGTAATAACTATCACTACAATCACTTTAGAGCCTTTTCATCACCCCCAGAAGAAACCCCATCACTGTTGGGGTCCCTCCTCGTTCCCCGACCCCAGTCCCTGGCAGTCACTAATCTATATTCCGTCTGTATGGATTTGCGTGTTTGGGGCATTTCATAGAGACAAAGTCACATGGCATGTGGCCATTTCTGTCTGGTTTCCTTCTCCTAGCCTCATGTTTCTATGGCATCCACACCGTAGCACGTGTCAGTGCTTCACTCTTTTTTTCTAATATCTTTATTGGAATATAATTGCTTTACAATGTTGTGTTAGTTTCTGCTGTACAACAAAGTGAGTCAGCTGTACGTATACATATGTCCCCATATCCCCTCCCTCTTGCGTCTCCCTCCCACCCCCCCCATCCCACCCCTCTAGGTGGTCACAAAGCACCGAGCTGATCTCCCTGTGCTATGCACCTGTTTCCCACTAGCTAGCTATTTTACATTTGGTGGTGTATATATGTCCGTGCCACTCTCTCACTTCCTGACAGCTTACCCTTCCCCCACTGGCTTCCCTCCTTCTCGTGGCTGAATAGTATTCCACTGTATGCTGTTTATCTGTTCACTACTTGACGGGCACCGAAGTTTGTTTACATTGTGGGTTTGAGGTACTAAGTATGTATTTTCGCTCACCGACATTAATCTTCCACGTAACACCTGACCATCTTACAGACAACAACACAAGGGGGCGTCACCCTGAGGAAACCATGAGGGGCCTGACGTGGGTCCTCCACGTCCTGGATTACCGGCTGCCCTTCCGCTGGGACATGCCCCATTAGGGACAATCCCCAGCACCCCGTGTCCCCGAGCAGCCGTGGAAAAGCTGTGGCAACTTCACGCCCCTGCACAGAGCCTGCCTTCTGTCTGCCTCTGCTTCTCCACTGGGACCCAGGGTGGGGCGGTCAGTTATGAGCACCACCAGGTCGTGGAAGGGCAGGTTCCCGGGGCTTAAAGTCAGGGCCCCGATCCCCAGCCCTGCAGTCAGCCGTGCGGCCTCGGCTACACGGTCTCTGTCCTCTCCTGCAGCTGCCTCCTTAAATCAAGGGCCGAGTTCCAAGTGCGTAATGAGAACAAGCACCCCCTGCGCGTTCCGCGTGGCCACAGGCACCTGCGCAGGGCACCCGGGGCATCCTCACCGCGCCCCTCGGAGGGCTGACATCACACCCGTTTACAGAGGAGGAAAAGAAGGACCAGTAAATGAAGACGCTGGGCCGGGGTCGCATGGCTAGCAAGTGGCAAAGGCAGAATCTAAACGTGGGTTGGCTGGCTCTGGAGTCTGCGCTCAGCCAGGAAGACCCAGACGCACGGGCCAGGGGGACAGTGACAGGGACTCCGAATCATCAGCTTTCCTTCCTTTTGCAGACATTCGCTGGGCACCCACCTGCCAGACAGTGTGCTACGGGGAGACTGTGGCTTAGGGGGAAGGGCTGCATCTTCCCCCCAATCTCCCCACCTTCTCTTGTACACAGACGAGGGGGGGATGGCCCAGCGCCCTTACCTGACCCCGATGGTGAACATGCTGAGGAGATGCTTCCCTTGCAGCCAGCCCGTGAACATGATCAGGCCTGGGAGGAGATAAAAACATACACGTATGTATGTACACACACACACGCGCACACACCTGCACACACGCACACGCGCATACACGAGTATGTCCTCCAAAGGACGAAGGCATTCCAAACTCATTTCCTTAAAGAGTTTCCAGTAATATAGACACAGGACGGTTATGAATAACCTCAAACACGTGCCACCTCTCCCCTTTTTCTTTTTAAGAAACAACTCCCCTGCCTACGAGAAAGAGGATGGCTTTACTTTTTCAGGAGAAGATCAAGCCAGCTCAAGTAAAAGAAACAGCCAACCAGTTTATTTGGGGCTGTTGTCAACATTTCTGTATTATTCCACAAGTTCCCATGGGCTGCACGCCCCCAGGACTTGCCCCAAGGTGTCTGCTGTGCTCCCGTGATGCACAGATTGGCCGCTGTCTCTTGACTGACTTTATCCTGCGTGTTCATGATTAAATACATTCCTTTTTCCATTTTTCTCCTTCGTCAATCGTTGACCCAACGTCTTCTAAACGCCAGGCACTGTGCTATGCATGGGACACACAGTCAGTCAGAGACGGACCCTCCAGGCACAGGAGTGGCATGAGTTGCTGGGACCCGTGAAAGTGCTGAGACGTTCTGACAATGGGGAAAAGTTCAGGGGCCGCCAGGCGTGGCCTCAGTTTCCTCACCTGCAAAGTGGGTACAATGACCGTGTCTTCCTCAAGGACTTGTTTCAGGATGTAAGATGTGACAATGCACTTGGAGTGCTTAGCACGGCTCCTGGCCCACAGTAGCACCCAGTCGTGAACTGCTGGGGCCACGGTTACCGGACAGGTGAAGGGAAAAATGTGTGAGGTGAGAGGAGTCGCCTGTTGACACGTCCTGGGAGATTTGCTGAAAAGCACTAGCTTTGTTTTGCAGGGAAAGGGGAGTCAGCGCAAGCTTTCTGCTGGGTAGTAGCGGTGTGCGTGTGTGTTGGAGTACGGGGGTCAGAAGAGCTGATTTATTAGGGGCTATTTTCATACTATGTATCTTTCTAATTAATTTATTTATTTTTGGCTGCGTTGGGTCTTCATTGCGGTGCGGTGGCTTTCATCGCGGTGGCTTCTCTTGTTGCGGAACACGGGCTCAAGGCGCGCGGGCTTCAGTAGCTGTGGCTCGGGGGCTCTAGAGCGCAGGCTCAGTAGTTGTGGCGCACAGGCTTTGTTGCTCCGCGGCATGTGGGATCTTCCCGGACCAGGGCTTCAACCCGTGTCCCCTGCATTGGCAGGCGGATTCTTAACCGCTGCACCACCAGGGAAGTCCGTATTTTCATACTATGATTAGCAACAGGCTTCAGTAGTCAAATAAAATCTTAGCTGCAATCCAAATGAACCCAGTTGCAAAAGACTGGGTGGGAGGGAACTCTATTAAAAATAGGTGCAGGTCGCACCCACCAGGACCCGCCCCTACCCTGGGGGCCTCCCTGCAGTAGGAGGCTGAGCTTGTTCCCCAGGGGCTCACAAGAGCTGACTGTGCTCATTTCTTCCCAAATCCACGTTCAGTAACTTTGCACTGGTAGCTTGAAATGGGCGGCTGTGACTACTGATACCATGGAAAGGGGCAAACACCGCTTTCCGCTGGAGCTCGCTGTTCCCCTGAATCTCCTCCTTGGACCCTCTGAGGGTTCAAAATTCCCACTCTGCCGAGCAATTCTTCAAATATTTATTAAAAAGAAAACACGTCTGAATGGTATCATGGGCCTGGCCATGCACATGCTAATTTACTTTCTCATTTAACTTGAGGAATAATGGCTTATACGAGGCAATGACCGTGCAGGACCTCTGACTTGGATTTTTTTTTTTTTTAAAACAAATTTCATCTTGTGGAAAGGCCTGCTAAGAGCATCTATTTGACAATGTGCCTTGAAGCACATCTACTTGGTATTTGCTCTTGGGGCCATTATTACGGCCCAGTCTCCTTCTGGCAACCCCAATGTCTAGAGCAGGTGGTGGAAAGGTCTTCATATAACAGATCAGATAGTAAACAGCATCAGCTCTATGGGCCATATGGTCTGTTACAACTCAGCTTGGCCATTGCAGTGTGCAAGCAGCTATAGATAATACGTGAATGGGCGTGGCCGTGTGCCCATAAAACAGATGTGTGAACACTGAAATTTGAATCTCATATAACTTTAATGTCATAACATATTCTTCTTCTATTTTTTTCAGTCATTTAAAAATGTAAAAAAAATTCTCGGCTTCTGAGCCACACAAAAACAGGTGGCAAACCCGATTTGGCCTGGGAGTCATAGTTTCCATCCCCTGCTCCAGACTGTAAAAGGGTCCTCTGGCCAGCTGGGGCCACGTGGGCATCCAGTCTAGCCCAAAAGCCTGATCAATGTAACCCCGAGGATGGCAGGTGAACGGCGATGCAGAGCCACTTTCCCCTCCTGCGTCCATGACAGACATCACTAATCCATCACAGTTCTCTGCCACCAAGCCCGAGCATGGACTCCAAATCCTCTCACAAGCACAGAGCCCCCTTAGCTGGGATCAGACCTGGCAGGTTAAGATAAAACCCATTTTCCATAACTGCTCCAGGACAAAATAGGGTGGAGAGGAGGGAAGAGGACATAGAGCTACATGAAAACAGTAAAACTACTGACTGAGCAAAGTCTGAGCACTAAATCCAAAGTTGACATTTGGAAACTGGATACTAGAAGGTTGGGATGGGGTGGCCAGGGAGGAAAGGGTGGGCAGGTCTGTCCCCAGCATGACAGAATTGAGAGCTTTGACTTCAGACCATATCCTCTTAACACTTTGCTAAATTTACCACCTCTTACAAGTTGTGAAGGAGTGGGAGATACCTTCCATGCCTTTGAATCTACCCTTTCCTCTGTCTGGAATTCCCAGTCTCTTTTTTTTTTTTTTTTCACTTGGCAAACTCCTACCCATCCTGCAAGACCCAACTTAATGTCACCTCCTCCTGGGAGCCTTCCCAACTCTCCCATGCAAAATTAACTGCTGCCTTCACATTTCATATTTGTTCAGGCGTCTCTCTCCTATTTCCCTGGGGTCCTTCAAAGGGCACAAGCTGTGTCTGACTCATCTTGGTGGCTCCAGACCTATCATAGGGTCTAGCATGTCACAAGATACTCACTAAATGAATGAATTGCACCTAGATGCCCAGAAGCACAACAAAACTGCTGCTAGGAGGGACAGATGTTTCTCCCAAGAACATTACTGGCTCTGCAGTTTAGCCAGATTCTCTAGTACTTCCTCCCATCACTGCTCATGCTATGAGCAGTGGTTGGTTGGTTTGTTTCTTTATTCACTCATTCATTCAACCAACATTTATTGAGAATCTACAGTGGCCCAGGCACTGGTTGATCCTGAAAGCTGGGAACGAAGGACACAGACTCAAAACCAGAGCTGGAGACAGCAGGAAGGAGCAGGTGAAGGGACCAGGGCAGCCCCATGGGGATCTTCAGGAGTAAGACCTGAATTTAGCTCTGCAGCATCTGTGGATGCTGTTTGGTGTGTTGCCAAAGGCCAGGATGCACACGCCCAGGCACAACCTGCTTAGTAGAATAGAAACATGGCTGGGTGCACCACCAGACTACATTTCCCAGTCTCCTCTGCAGTTAGGTAGGCCATGTGACTTCATTCCAGCCAATCGAGAATAGGCAAAATTGATGACATCACTTCCTGGTCCCTGCCTTAAAAATTTCCCCCTACAAGCCTCCATATTCTCTTTCCCTACCTGCTGGCTACATAGAATTATGGCCCACCTCCCAGGACCTGCAGGAAGGCAGAGCAACAATACGGTAGGGGCCTGGGATCCCGAGTCAGTGTTTGGAGGTGAGCTATCCAGGAAAGCCATTTCACCAGGAACATGCCCATGGACTGTGGTGTGGGCAAGAAATAGATTTTGACCATGTTAGGCCATTAAAATGCGGGGGCTGCTTGTTACAGCCATTAGCTTGTTCTGATAGAGAAACCTCTTGTTACTGTCCAAGAACCTCTGATCCCAAACCCCAATTCTCACCCAGGTGAGTAGCAGGGTATTTGAGAAACAGCTGTGGGTGCTCCGGACGGCTCCCTCCACACACCCCATCCCCTCTGGGACCCCGTGCAGAAATTGCTTCACCCACCAATTATGCCGAATGAGAAAAGTGTCAATTGCTTCCCCAGTTTGTCCATGCTTTTTTGTAGAGGAGTTTTGGGCGTCTGAAAGGATGAGAACAATGGGTTTGTTAGATGAGATCCCAGCAGCGTCCCCCAGTTTCTGCCTGGATTTTTTAATGTCTTAAGCTGAGTGACGATTACACAAGGACACATACATAAAACTTCATTGACTGCTACGTTTCAGATCTGCGCATGTCACCGTAAGTTATCTTGACAAAAATCCGAATAAATGTTTTAAAAGAAAAAATTTGAAAAAGGGTACTCACGTTAATCATATCATCCTTAGTTCTAAGGAGCAGGCAGGGCTGGTGTCACCAGCTGAGAATCATCTCAAACCCCAGCTTCCACAAACCCAGAGCCCCACTGCCCTCACCTCTTCAGCCTGCATCATCTTAAACACTTCTCCGAACTGGGATCTTTCTCCTGTTCCGATCACGACGCCCTGCGTACAGGAGAGAGGAGCCTGAGTTCTGAGGCTGAAAGCCTGCAGATGACGGAGACCGGGGCCCCCAGGCACCCGGGGCTTACCTGTCCCTTCCCGTACTGCACCAGGGTCCCCATGAAGACGATGTTGCTCAGGGTGGTGAGATCGCCCCCACCCGTCAGCGGGGTGTCCGTCTTGCTGCTTGGCTCGGCTTCTCCCGTGAAACTGGACTCGTCCACCAGGAGGTCTGTGACCTGGGCGGGCAAAGCGAGAAGGCGTGGCACCCACCCTCCCACCTGTGAGCTGGTTTTCAAAGCCCAGCACGGTGTCTAGCACCTTAGTGTCATCGCCAGCAGACAGCAAACAGGAACGTGCTGAAAAGCAGGAAGCGAGGATCAGAACGCAGCCTCGGATGCCTCCAGGAAACAGAAAAGCTTTGAATGTACGGCCCCTTTCAGAAAGCAGAAAGGTCTCATATCCTATTTTAACATTATTTTAAATTTTAATATTTTTAAAAACTTAGGCAATGGTTAAATTAGAACATCCCTCTCAGAGCATCCTGTCTTTCCCCTAACACTCCACATCCCACCCGCCTTGGAAGGTCCCGTACAATCTGTGTAGTCTGAGTAGCACTGAGCCGTGTTATGCAGTGACAGCCTAAGGTCATGTCAACACCCAAAACACATACTCGGGCACAGATACGCACACACACCCAGACGTTTCCAGGGTGACACTTCCAGAACACCTACCATGCGCCAGGCCAGGCGCGGAACACTTCACAAAGCTTATCTCTTTTTTTTTTAATTTATTTTTTATTTTTGGCTGCATTGGGTCTTTGTTGCTGTGCGCGGGCTTTCTCTAGTTGCAGCGAGCGGGGGCTACTCTTTGTTGCGGTGCGCGGGCTTCTCATTGCGGTGGCTTCTCTTGTTGTGGAGCACGGGCTCTAGGCGCGCGGGCTTCCGTAGTTGCGGCACGTGGGCTCAGTCGTTGTGGCTCACAAGCTCAGTAGCTGTGGCGCACGGGCCCAGCCACTCCGCGGCATGTGGGATCTTCCTGGACCAGGGCTCAAACCCGTGTCGCCTGCATTGGCAGGTGGATTCTTAATCACTGTGCCACGAGGGGAGTCCCACACAAGGCTAATCTCTCAATCCTCACAGACTCCGTGAAAGATGCTATTATTTTCTCCTCTCTACATTTGGGGTAACTGAGGCATGGACTGATTAAGAAATGTGCTCAAGTCTACACAGCTAGTTAGTGGCAGAGCAGAGGTCTGAACCAAGGTGATGGCTCCAGAAACTGCACTCTTAACCACCTTGCAAAACTGACCACAGGCCCAGTACGTATCATTCAAGAGGTGAGTCTCCTGTGGCCAGAACTGTGCCAGGTACCACCGAGGACATGCAAGGCATCAGGGTGGGCTCTGCCCCTAAGGACCTTCTCATTTAAGCAAAAAAGAGGGCTTCCCTGGTGGCGCAGTGGTTGAGAGTCCGCCTGCCGATGCAGGGGATGCGGGTTCGTGCCCCGGTCCGGGAAGATCCCACATGCCGCGGAACGGCTGGGCGTGTGAGCCATGGCCGCTGAGCCTGTGCGTCCGGAGCCTGTGCTCCGCAACGAACGGGAGAGGCCACAGCAGTGAGAGGCCCTCGTACCGCAAAAAAAAAAAAAAAAGTCTAATCAGACAAGTCCCGATTAAGGCACATTCTACAAAATACCTGACCAGCCCTCCTCACAACTGTCAAGGTCATGAAAAACAAGGCAAGTCTGAGCAACTGTCACAGCCCAGAGGAGCCTAAAGAGACATGATGATTAAATGTAACGTGGGACCCTGGAACAACAACAACAACAGGGCATTAGGGAAGAACTAAGGCAATCTGGTAAAAGTATGGACTTAGTTAATAATAACGTGCCTCGATTGGTTCATTAATTGGAACAAAGGTACCCTACTAATCTATGATGCTGACATTACAGGAAAGGGTGTGGGATCTATGGGAATCCTCTCAACTATCTTCTCAATTTTTCTGTAAATCTAAAATGGCTCTAAAAAATAAAGTCTGTTTTTCTTAAAAAGAGGAAAGGAAGAGAGAGATGAGACAAAGGTGCCTCTCTGAAGGCAGATGGCCAGAGAAGCAGGAAGAATGGGGCGCGGGGCTGGGAAGGGAAGGGGACGCAGGTGCGGAGGTGGGTGTGGGTTTGGATGTATTGGAATGCAGGTGGGCAATCTGTCCATCTGTCCATCCATCTCCTACGAGGGGCCAGGCATTCTTCTGGGCCCTGGGAATCCAGCAGGGCCGAGACAGACAAACCCCCTGACTTTGTGGGGGGACTGGCAATAAACACGAAAGCAAACAGACATTGGAAAGAGCAGTAGATACCCAGGGTGGGGGGGTGGGGTGATGCCTCAGGAGACGGGTCAGGGGAGGCCAGTGAGAAGGGGACAGTGAGTTGAGACCTCAGGAATGAGAAAGGCTGTAAGTCATGCTGGTGGAAAGTGGGTTCTGGCGGCAGAAATGGCCCTCCTGAGTGAAGACACACTGCAGGCAGTTGAAAGCATCAATGCGCCTGGCTTCTAAGTCAGGGCTGGGCATACAGCTTGGGCCTCCTCTGCCTAGAACAGCTGATTCACGTCCATTCCAGGACGGCTCAAAAGCCACTGCCTCCAGGAAGCCCTCTGTGACTGCGTCGGGCCAGGCAAGTCTGTCCTGTTTGGGAAACCCAGAGTTCCCGGGGCTTTTCCCTCAAGCCCCTGCAGCAATCGTTACCTGTCATGAGTAGATGTGGTTTGTGTGTTACTCTGGGCAATAAACCCATGAGCACAGAGATCTCGTCTGTTTTCTCCACTGCCTCCTCAGCACGCAGCACAGTTCCTGGCACATAGTAGGTGCTCAAGAAATATTTGTTAACTGAATGAGTGATGAGGATATGGGGAGGGGTGCCCTGAGGCAGGGAGGGAGGGCAGAGAGGCTTAGAGGAGGGCTTTGAGTGTGCTGGGCTGAGTAATAGCCCCCGACCATCCGATCCCCCAAAGACACCCAAGTCCTAATCCTTGGAACACGTGAAGGTGTTACCTTAATGGCAAAACAGCCTTTGCAGATGTGACTGAATTAAGGACCTTGCGATGCGGAGATTACCCTGGGTGATCCTGATGGGGCCTAAATGTCATCACAAGGGTCCTTTTAAGAGGAGGATCAGAGAAGTGTCTGAGAGAAGGAAGTACAAAGACAGAAGCAGCGGTTGGAGCAATTTGAGGCCACAAGCCCAGGAATGCGGGCGGCCTCTGGAGGCTGAAAGATGCAAGGGAACCAATTAATAGCTTAATGTGGTTAATTGGAACTAATTAAGAGCTTAATAGTGGAGAAGAATATTCCACTGTGAGTAAACAAAGCTATTGATTGTTCACTGGATTTGCAAAAGGACAAAAAAGGAAATCTGTAGTGTTGGCGGCTGGCAGCCTTGAAAAAAGTCCTCGTGGTGGCAATGACCAGGCACAATTTCATTTGACAGAAGCGGGGCAGGAAGAAAACCAGCTGAAGTAGGAAAGGAGTCATTTGGGGTTTAAAAAATTGTTTCAAAGAACTGTTGTAGAGCCTGGCACTGATCAACAGTAAAATCAATTGCAGATATTTGTGACTCTGTCCCCTCATCAGGTGCTGCACGAGCAGGCAGCAGGTCTTAGCGTTTCAGCTTCAGGAGAACCCCACGAGGCGGGAATAAACATTAACCGCTTGGATAGATGAGGAAACCGAGGCAAAGAGAAGGTAAGCAACTCGCTCCAGGTCACACAGCTTATGAATGACAGGATCTGGCTAATGCCCCGTCCCAGGGCACTAACCACTCGGCAACACTGCCTCTCTGGAGAGCCTGTAGTATACGCGTATCCTCCCTATCAGCATGTGGACTCCCCACCCCATACCTGGGGACTCCCTCACACTGTGGGGCAGAGCCCACCCCTAGGGGAGGCATGGACAACGTCACATTGGCTTCCCCAGCCTTCCCGCACGTGGGGCTTGGCCACTGGACGATGGTTCCTCTAATGGGACCCACCTGCCCTGCCTGGAGATCTGAAAGCCAGGGGCAGAAGGGCTTGAAAGCCTGGGTGCCCTCTGGCCTCTGCCTCTACGTCAAAGACTGTCTCAGGATGCTGTAAACACAGCTCCCGGGGGTTAGCTCCCAGCCTCTTTGCCTCTCTCCATCCCCCCGCTCCAGGCCACCCTTCAAACAGCCTGCTGTGCATCCTGAGAACATGTCCTCCTTAAATAAATAAATCAGGCTGATATTCTTAAGTATTCCAGGGATCATAAAATAGATTACTCCCATCGACGGATCCCTCTGAACTTGAATTAAGCTTTTCTCGAGAATCAAATTTATCTCGGAGAGCCTCAGGAAATGTTCTGTGAAGCTGTGACACCCTGAGACCCACAAAGGTTGGGGACAGAGCTTGCCCCACACCCGATGTCCCCAACTGCGCTCTTGTAAAATCTTGCGCTACTATTTATGGCTGTACCGGTTGTTCCCATCCTCGTGATTAAGCAGTCAGATAGCGTTTCTCTCCGACATCAGTGTGGCCGTTTCTAGAAGCAACTTTTCCCTCATTCCTCAGCCCCACCCTGGTTTAACTGCCACTGCAGTTTCCTGTAAACTAGAAAAATCACATAACCACAGTTGGTTAGGCTTATACTTAAATGAGAAGAAATAATTTGTGAAATGCCATTGGAGGAGGTTTATGCTTAAAATGAGCTCGCTTGCTAACTTCCTGTTTGTGTGCACACATGCCTGTGTCTGTGCAGTGCACGAGACAGAGAGAACGCCTGCCTCTGAGAAGCTAAGTGTCTGCATGGCCCCTGGACCCAGGGTCTGGGACCCCTCACCTCTGTGAGACGGATGTCTGCAGGGATCCGGTCTCCGATAGAGAGAGACACGATGTCTCCAGGCACCAGGTCTCGAGCAAGAAGGTGATGGAGTTTTCCTTCTCTTATGCTGCGTTTGAAATGGGAAAAAGCAAAACCACCCATGTTGACATCTCATTTTTAGGCACTTTGATAACCTTGAGCAAAGATTACAGAAACACACTTTCTCTTTCCCTTATGGACAAACCCTTGTGCCTTTACGGTTTTATTATTTTTTAAATTCATCTATCCCAAAAGACTTTTGGGAAAGTGTATGGCTTCTAGGAGACCCTGAGCCTCATTTGAAAAGTGGGGTGACTACTGTTCACTCTGCCTGGAAACAAGGCTGGGCCACACGGCCTCCAGACGCTTCTGCTGGTCTAGGGAAGCGATTCCTTAATGAAGCTGGCAGCTAGCGGCACTTCTGTCCTCAGAGGACACAGCACTCTGGTGTGCAGAGCCCGGCTCGGGACCTCAGGGATGGCAGAGGCTTGCCAAAGCTGGGAGGAGCATCTTATGTGCTCGAGAAGCTGGGGACACCCCCTCCCACAGGGCCTGGACTGTTCCTCACGGCCATCTGCCGTCTAACGTTAGACACGGATGTGCTTCTGTGCATGGGCTCCCACTGGAATCCCACCACACACTGCCCCTTGCCCGACATGGCAGGAGCCTCCCAGATGGACCTGTGCCCACCCCACCTCCGACCTCCTTCAATTCATCCTGTACGTGGCAACCAGAGAGCTCTTAACGCACAAAATCGGATCACAACTTCCTCCTACTCCAACCGTCTCCAGTGACCTTGGAGTCAAACCCAGAGGCCCTGCCTCCTGTCACCCCGCCCCCGAATGCACCCAACTCCTTCTAGTCTCAAGGTCTTTGCTGACCTGGAATGCTGGAGCAGACATTCCCCTCTTCCCTGTTAACAGAATTCAATCTTATTCAGGTACCGCCCTTCTCCCCACTGCGCAGTGCTCTAGCGGGTGGGTCCTGAGTGGCTGAGACCATCAGGGTGATCCCAGCGCCTGCCCTATGACCGGCATAGGGACAGGCATGATCTACAATACTGGCCTAAGAGACAGGAGTGGATATTTCCTGGGGGCTTGAGAGAAAGTTTTTTTCACTCTGTACACGTACGTACACACACACACACACACACACACACACACACACACACACACACACACA